CTTTGTCTTCCAGAGCATGTGTGAGGGGACATGTGCACTGTAGTTGGAAGTGTGTTTAGATCATGCCTAGACATGCTTGAGCTAGTATTACCCTGCCTAGTTCAGGTACTGATAGCAGTGACAATGCAGTAACATGGGCATCAGCTGCTGAGTAGGCACCCAGGCTTCCAGCTGGGATTACATAGCACGTGGCTCCACTGCTAGCACCCAGACTAGCTTGATTAATTCCAGCTTGTGCATGTCTGTGCCTGTTGGCATCACACCAGTACCCACAGGCTCTGTGTGCCTCAGCTCCCCATCCATGCAATGTGAGTGATAGCACTGGCCTACTTTGTGGGGGAGGCATGAGGAGAACTACAACACCACCTGGGAGGTGTCATGGTGTCAGGGACTGTACATGCAGCTAAAATAGACTGGCTCTTAGAGGCAGAGACTCTGTCTGCAGGGCACATACAGCAGAGGCGGTGGGAGGGTACCCCTCTGCATGTTCCCCTTTAAGGATATGGGCAAACATACACTTAGGATGCCTTCAAAAGTGGGGGAGAGACATTGCTTGGGTCACAGCTATTCTACAGTAACTGTTAGATATGTAAGAGCCTGGAGCCATATGAGGACAACAGAACCACCCCAGCTTCACCCCTCCCTTATCCAGGAGCAAAGCTGGGACCAGCATGCGGCACAGTAACAGCAAAGCAGCTGCTGTGGAGTTCAGTTTTGCTGCTGCTCCAGGTGTATGTGTTTCTGTACCCTGGGATTGCTGCTAGGAGCGGGTTCTGTCTGTCTCTTGTCTGGAGCATCAGCACTGAGACAGAGGAAGCACCAGCTGTGTTTCAGGGTCTAGTGTGGCTGCCCGAGCACCTGGGACTGGACACTGACAAATCCACATCACCCATGTTGTGGAACAGCCATCAGGCAGGCACAGGGAGTGGGATCTTTGGCCTGTGGGAAGCAGCAACACTCTGGGATTCGTTTTCATGACATGAACACAGAGAAATGTTGTGGAATGAAAAATGCCAGCTGCGAGGCTAATAGGTAGTAGAGGTATTGTCATAAAATAGAAGAGGCAGGCTGCTCAGGGGCTTTGGTAAAAGAGTGTGATCCACCTGAACAGGTCTGCATCAGGGAGAGGGGCTCTGTCCACCCTATGATCATCTAGCCATCCCTGCTTCCATGGAGGCATCTCCATACAGATAGCTCCCACATGTTCTCAGGTAGGGCTGCGCCTCACTGCTGCATCCAGCTTGACCTCACCCACTCTCCCGGCTGAACTCCATTGTCTGGAGAAGCCTGAGGCCAGTTATTCACATAGAGCACACATTCAGGGAGCAGGTCTCAGGGGTGGGTCCCAGCAGCTTGTCCATGGGCAGGTGTGTTGCTATAACCCCTGACAGCCCTTTGAGCCAGTTTCTGGTGTGTTGTCCAGTAGTAGTTCTACAAACTGATCTTGACCCTTCCTCTAAAGGGTGCTGGCCATTGCTACAGACAGGATACTAGCTGGCTGGATCATGGCAGTCCCTGTGTCCTGCCTTGTAACAGGTTTGGCGTTGCCCATCCAGTCAGACATCCTCCATTGAACCCAGGACTCTTCATGAGTTGCAGCTCCCTTCCTTCTTCAGCAAGTCTGACTCATAGCTATTGTCTTGTTTCCTCAGGTTCAGGCCAATGTGGAGAAGTCCTTGACTCTCTTTGGGCAGCTCTTGAACAAGAAGCATTTCCTGCTGACCTTCATCCGCACCTTGGAGGCACAGCGTAGCTTCTCCATGCGGGACCGAGGCAATGTGGCCTCCCTGATCATGACAGCCTTGCAGGGAGAGATGGAGTATGCCACCGGCGTGCTGAAGCAGCTACTCTCGGACCTCATCGAGAAGAACCTGGAGAGTAAGAATCACCCCAAACTGCTCTTGCGGAGGTGAGTGTCCATGTAAGAACTTAAATGAGACTTATTGGTGAGGGAAGGTTTTTTAGAGAGTCTCTGGGACAAGGTGGGGCTGAGGTACCTGCTCTAAGGTAGTCGTGTGCCCTTTGCTTTTCTTAAACAAAAACGTCTCATGATATATTGGTCTGCAGAGCAGCGTGATACTCTGCTGCATCTGTGCTTTTGGAAGGAAGCCCCTTTCACATCTATTGTTTGCAGTGGAGAAGCATTTGTGCCAAAGCCACAGGGGCGTGTGTATACTGTTCTAGCCACGTGGCTCCATGGTTTTTCCTGGTCCAGTACCGCAGAGCAGTGCTGTTCGACACGTTCCTGTCCCTTGGCCTATGCATGTGCACGTGCGTCTGCGCAGTGTCCCTCTTGTGATGTGATCGGCTGTCTTCTCCGTCAGCAGAGCTCATGTCAGCAGTGGCAACAGCTGATGGATAAGACCCCTGGTAAAGCACTTCCTTGGCTGTGTGAGAGATTCCCCTGTGAGATATAAATGTGGGACCTTGGGACCTTCCTGCGTTTTGGACAGATGGATGCTCAGAAGTGGTTGTTTATTTCAGCACTTGGAGAACACTGCAGGATTTCAGAGCTGTGGATTTAAAGGCTGCTGGAGGCCATTTTTGTCTGCAGTTGTTGATGTCGTTGTTAACCTCCTGCTGCTGGGCCAGAGCTCTGTTAGGGTCCCAAGACATACCTTGGAACAGGGACTGTGGATTTCCTCCATGCCCTTGGCCGTCTATAATGCCTTCCTGAACCAGGCGGAGGCCAGACAGGGACTCACCAAAGACCATGTGTTGCCTTGCAGGCTTCCAGATTGCATGCCCTGCCCTCAGGGGTTCTTAGGCTCAGGGTTTGCCAGGACTCTCCCATCACCTCACAGGTACCATCTGATGGGTGCTGTGTCTGATCTGTTGTGGCCCTGGACCTCTGCCACGCATGTGTTAGATGGTGAGTTGCAGGCAAGACCAAAGTGGGCTACGGTCCGTGACTTTGGTTCTTGGCCTGTTGTCAGCAATATGCTGTCCTAAGCTGGATGACCTCTCTGACTAGCTCGCCTGTCTACCATTCCTTTTTCTGTACACAAATCTGGCATGGGGGCTGAGAGCCCAGCGGATAAAGGATACTGTCTTCTAGGGCCTGCATAGGCATTGGCTCCGTAATGACCCTCCCTCCAGCTGACAAATGACTGAACTGGGATGGACTTGATTCAAGGGGCTGGTTCGTTAGGAAGTGATGGGTGAGTGAGGAAAGTAGCTGCCTTCCCCCCAGAGCTGAGCCCTCTGTGAACATGATGTTCGCGGTGCCAGGATAGCACAAGTTCTAGGGCAGACTCCACCATGGCTCTTCACAAGCGTAACTGCAGGCTGCTGCTTTGGCCTGCATGTGTTGGTGCCAAGAGGGAGCAGGAGATGTTGGCACAGTGCCCTTGCAGCAGATCAGTCCCTGGCTAGACTACATTCCTGAGGGTGTTAGAGCCGGAAACCCATGGTGAGGCAGCACATGTGAATGCAGTGATGCTTCTGTCAGCCTCCTGGTGCTCCTGGCATTTGCTGAAACCCAGAGCTGTGATCGGTATCTCCCTTCTGGCAAGGTAGCTCTTAGCCATATTTTACATCATCACAAACACACAGAGGTCCCATCTTGCTGGAGCACTTCAGAGCACCCAGCTTTCTTTCCTTAGGTCTTGTCCATGCCTCAAAGGAGTGGGGTGAGGGGGTTAGGTGAAATTTGAATGAGGTTTTGGAAACCTTGAGTCTTGTGGGGGTTCAGGGGTAGGGAAAGTGTGCGAGCAGGAGGCAGCGTTCCAGCTCTGCCACCGATCTGTTCTGCCCCATCAATATTTAACAATAGCTCTGAGCTGTCCTCTATCGTGAGCTGATGAATATTGAAAGATACACCGAGTGCAGAACCAAAACAATTAATAAGCAGCACAGAGCCCCTCCCTGCTTTCTTCCTGCTCCGGGAGCTCTCCCTTCATCACTGCAATGCTCCATGCTCCCCCGTTCCTGCCTCCCGGCTCCAGGAGCGATAGTGTCTGCTTCCTGGACAGTGATGATACCTTCTCCCTGCTCATGGAGCAAGCTGTCAAGCATCGGAGGAGGCGGAGGACACTAGTATTGGTGCGGCACCAGGTGAGCCAGCAAGTCTCTCAGAGCCTACAATGTGCCAGTGGTGCCCAGACTGCCAACTGGGCGAGGGGGGAGGTGTGTGTGTGGGCCTCAGGGTCTCCAAAGTCCACTGGTCTTTCTCTTGATGCTGTTCAGGGGCTTCATCCAGCCCTTGGAGATCAGGCTTCAAAGAGTGTCATTTGCAAGCCCATCAGTGTATATTCCAGCAATGGAAGTACCAGGACGGGAGGATTGTAAGGGAAGTTCCACCAACCATCTGCTGTTTGTCTGTCTGTGCGTGTCTCTGGGCAAGTCACTGAGTCTCTCTTTGCCTTGGTTTCTGCATCTATGAAATAGGGGTGACTTCTGCCTCCTAGGAGTGTTGTCACTGCATTTCTCTTTGCCTCGGTTTCTTCATCTGCAATATAGGGATGACTTCTATGTCCTAGGAGCGCTGCAAGCATAGATTCATCACTTCCTTGAGATCCTCCTAAGGACTGTGGTAGAGAAGGGCATGTGGACTGGACCAGGGGCTGGCCACTGACTTTGATAGCAGCAGGTTGATGGGTTGTGGTCTTCTATGTTTCCTCTCTCTCCATGCAGCCACTGTTCCCCTCTCCTGAGAGCACCCTGCTGTCTGGTCCCTCTGCTCACCCCTCTCCCATACGATGACTGGTTTTGCTGAAATATTTAAGGTGCATTATCAGATCATGGGCTGCCGGGAGCACTGCGGAGCAGAGGTTGCTGAGCACTGCTCCGGAACGAAGCCAATCAATAAAATATAAATAAAAGGCGAGAGCCCCAGCGTGGGGAGACCCAGCCACTGTATCCTGCATGCTGTGGCGGCAGTCCAAGGCCAGCGAGGGAGGCAGGGCCTGGCCTTTGCTGCCTGTGTGAAGTTTCTCTCCCCAGCGGCAGCACTTTGGGTTTCGTGCGCGGTGTGTTGCATGTATGGAAGTGCATCAGTGGAGCTGTGAACGGCCTGCGGCTGTAATAGCATTGGAGGAGGGCTGCAGGTCAGGAGAGACGGGCCCTGATAGAGCCTGGAACAGTGAGAGAGGAAAAAAGTGCCCTGCTGACCTAGTCTAGCTTGGTCCTTCTCTGATTGCCTACATGGCCACGTGGGTACATGCAGGGAGGGATCCTATTCCCCATGTGCCCCTCTAGTTTGAGTTCCAGACAGTTCCTTCTCCTTCTTTGCAGTGGCCTGGCTGGTGGAGCAACAGGAAGAGCGAGTGGGTGGAATGTGTTATTTAGTCACTTTGGAAGGCCCTAATCCTCCTGTCGCAGTGGCACTTGGCTGTGGCACAGAGAAACAAACTTCTGGGTGTCACAGTTTCCCAAGGGGAGCAGCAGAGACTGGTAGTCATGGAGGACAGGGGCTATTTTGTGAAGGCCAGTATGTCACTGGGGGTGTGGAGGAGCAGGGATAGCTGTCCCACACTGGCATTTTTCCAGGTCATTCCAAAAATACTGTTTTTTTCTTTTGGATTCATGTTTCCTGGGTGGCAGAGGAAGAACTCTGCCCTCCAATGGCTCAGATGTGATATTTCTCTACTGAGCTATTCCCGTCCTGGACCAAAGGAAGAACGTCAGCCCCCCAGTGCCCCACCAAGCTGAGGCGGCTGCAGTGGGAAGCAATGGGTGGGTGGGGACTGGACATAACTAGATCCAATTAAATTAACTCCTGCGTAGCTGCTCTGGGCTGGACAATCTACGATCGTTCCTCTCCGCTTTCCTGTGCTGCCTCCGTGTCCCTGGGATGCGGCTCCAAGTCTCCACGGCGCTGGGAGTTGCGTTCTTTTCATTTTATTCTTCCTTGAAATAAAGCTGTTTCTCTCTGTTCCTCTTGTTCCCCTGGTGCAGCGGGAAGGCAGCTACCTTCTCGAGGTTATTAGCGTTGCTTGTGCTTTTGTGAGCATCTGCATTCAAAAATAGCTGATCTGATGATTAATGGATGGAGCAGCTGAAAAAACATAACTGGAGAATTTCAATGGGGACTGGCTGGGGGGGGGCAGTTCCCCCCCTTCTTTTTAAGGAGGTGCAAGTGGGCTTTTTTCTCTTTAAATAAATGTGCGCCCAGGTGAATTACAGTTCATGTGACAGTGAGCCCGACCTCAGTGCAGAGGCAGGCAGCTGCGAACAGCCACAGCGCCAGCTTCCCTCCCCTGGGGCCCAGCTGATTCACTGCCCTCCGCCGTCACCTGCCAGCCCGCTCCCGCTGATGCAGCAGTCCTGACCTGCAGCAAGCCTGGCCGTTGCAGCATGAGGCTTCCCACATGCAGCTCAGTCGCACCTTGGTCTTGACACACAGCACCCCTGGCTCGTCCCAGCCGGAGCCCCTCTGCAGATCACTTGTCGATGCCCAGTGATTCCTATCTGCAGCCCCTTCTCCCCTGCACTGCTTAGTCCAGTTCTGGCTTTCCTGGTCAGAGGCAATTGGCTGTGCTGGAGTGGGCAGTGGTTTTGCAATGTGGACAGATATTCATAGGGAACTGTGGTCGGTCTCCTGTCCCACGGTATTTCTGGAAGCAACAATCCAAATTTGACCAAAGCTAAGCAGGAGGCAGCATACGTTCTCCCCAAGGCCAGCTTCGGCTGCTTCCCTTGGTGCTGTCCCCAGTCCCTGAGTGTATGGACAAACAGACCTTTGACTCACTTGGAGATTTGCAACAATGTTATGATGTAACTGTGATTTCAGCAGGCTGCTATAGTGACCAGGTGAGCTAAATTGCCCAAATGGGGACCCTGAATGAAATAGGGGTAAATGTTCCCCAGTTTTGTTTTGCTTATATCACTAGAGGACTATAGGGATGCAGCAGTTACACTGTAGCACATTGATACAGTTATTATATCTGTTTGTACCCTAATAAGCTTTGTCTGCTGATGTTTCAATCCCCTTTGGGAGCTGTGACAGCTCTGTGGAGTTTGCCTCCGGCTCGTCTTTCAGCCCTATTGTCTCCCTGTGATGATCTTTGTGGGTTAGCTGAGTTGTGCTTAGGGTGCAAAATACTGTACAAATGGGGTGGCGAGCAGGGGCACCCTTGTCTCTTCCTAGGTGAAATGGGAGCTGCTCAGCTGGGCCCCATAGCCCTTGAACTGCTCCCAGTGTGTGGGGTGTGAGGATTCTCCCTTGGACCGAGTTGCGGGGTCTGCACTTTTGGAGGGGATGGGCCTGCGGTCTGCTTCTGCTTTCTCTCTGAAGCACCGTGTGGCTGAGCTGCAGTGACAGACGTGGTGCCTCAGCAGCTGCAGATTTATGACTGTATTTAAGAGCAGAGGAATCAGAGCACCAGGTTGCAGAACAGGGCTCCTCTGTGTTAGGATATCTACTGCCTTTCTCCACACAACCACAGAAATGCAGTGTCCCCATTACAGGAAATACTTTAGGCGAATTTAGTAATTTTACCCTTCCCAGGTTCAACTTCTTTCCCTCCCCTCCCTTAAAGACTTCTGCTGTGGAGGGGATTATGCAGCTCTGGAGTGCAGCTCTTTTGCAAGACATGAACAGGAGATCTCATCTAGTTGTGGGGGGAAGGGATTGCTGGGAGGGTGGGGGGTGGCGACACAGGTTGGTCTTCAGAAGGGCAAGTGTCTCTGGGGATAGGACCCTGCTGGCTATTTCTACCCCCACACCTCTGGGAGAGGTATCTGCAGTCAGGCTGGCCCAGGGCAAGCGGGCATTGGCTACAATGAGGGGCTTCTTTAGATATTTATCCTGGCAGCCCTGGATTTTTGCTGCTTCTTCCTGCCCCTTTACTTTGGACTTCTGCCTTTCGAAGCATAACCTTGGGAGCACGAGAGGGAGGAAAAGGGGTCTGAGGCTACACAGATCAGAGCCCTCCACCCAGTAGCTCTTATCCTCTGCCTTCTCTGCAGGACTGAGTCTGTAGCGGAGAAGATGCTGACAAACTGGTTCACCTTCCTGCTGTACAAGTTTTTAAAGGTGAGTTTGGAGCAGACCACGAAGCCGGAGGTAGGGAGGGTG